CTCCCGCCCCGGTTCGTACGCTCCCCTTTTCGCCCTCCTCGGCCGCTCTTTGCCTCTTCCCGCCCTTTCCCGCTCGTTCCTGAGCCCCAGTCTCGTTGGCTGCCTCTTCGCCTCTGCTCCTGCCTCCTCCTGCATCCCTTGCTCCTAGTCCGACTCAAGCCTCTCATCCTGGCCGGGGGAGTATCCTCAAGGGATAACTTTCTAGCAGGAGACCCCGGGCAGGCAGAGTTAGGGCCCTGGACAGCTCCCTGCTCGCCGAAACCCCCAGGTTCTGACCTTTCCCCCTATTCTGCTCAGCCACGGCCGATCCGGTTTCTGGGTGAAAACAATTAACATCGGGCTCTAGCACCGAGAGTGTAGGGGTTGAGTGGGTGTGTGAACATGTTTTGTCTCAGGGGCCAATTGTTTCAACGCGGTCTTGTTTGCGTCGAGAGTTGCTGGACGGGGATTTCTTTCCTGGATTCCACGCTTCCTGGTGGGCTGGGAAATTTTCTGAATCTTTAATATTGTGATGCCACGCTTACGCGCATCGTTCTCAGGTCTTTTCAGGGTCCTGGAAATTTGGACCTAGGCTTGAGGTTCAAAGAGGTCTTGGTTAAAAATGCAAGATATTTATATAAATAAGATTGTGACACATACTCTTAGTTGAAAGTCGGAGAAAGTCAGGAATTTGCCCTTTTGATGGAGGAACTTAGAAGAATTTTGTCATTTTTGAAAGGTTAGGGAAAATCCGAGGTCCCGGGTAATTTGCCTTAAAGTGACTTACAATAGGCCTTTAAAAGTTTAATCTTTGGCGGGGATTGTCCAATTTCAAGAAGTTAGTACAGTTAAAACGGCAAGAACGTCTCCCATAAATTTAATATTAAATGAAGAAGGACACTTCAATTACATGTTTCCCGGAGGTAGTTGTACGGCTCTTGATTTGAGTGGATGAGAAGCTGGGAATAGGGAGGAACATAATAAGCCTTCTTGTAATTACAAACATACTCTGATTTAGCTGTTAAGGTTATATTTAAGACTCACCTTTGCCGTGGGTTAATATAACTGAGGGAAAAGTTGAGCAATCAAAATGTTAGACGTCTGAAAAAAGTTCAGATAGAACTTCATTCCTAGAGTTTTAGTCTGTGGCCAGTTTTATTTTGGTCTGTTTTGGTTTTTAAGTGTTGGATTTTTTAGTGTGACTACAAGAATGTTAGGTAAGTTTGTGTAAACATCTGGAGGTCACCTGCAGTGCTATTAAGTTAGCAGTATGATAGTTGAAAGTTCAATTCCAGGGTGCAAAGTTTCTTAGCAGAGTGTTAGGGCAGGAGTGTGATTCCAGTCCTTACAGGAATGGGGTTCATAGTCCTGGTGTGTGTCAGATTCACCCTCATATCCCTAAGCATCCAGTCTGTTGCTAAAGCACATAGTAGGGATTCTGCCAAAATTTATGGAAGGAATGATTTCTGCCTATAGAGTACAACAATGTATATGTAGATATGATGTGTACTGATTTCCAGAGAGACCCAAAGAGGATTTATGTGGGGGTCTGCAGGGATGGGGACACTGGTTCAGATGATTTCACTCTATAAGGGCCAAGAGTCTGAGCATTTGACTAACTGGTCATAAAGTAATTGAGAAAAACTAACAAATAAAATGAAATCTTTATTCTAGTTCTGCTGGCAGGAAGAATTTGTTTATAGTCTATAGATAGCAACCTTTTAGATGCTGTGCAGCCTCAAAAATATTAGCATATGTGATCTTTCCTCCCCCTCTTCTCAGGTATATAGGACATTATTGTGTATTTGTGGGAAGAGTCTCCTCTCAATCCAGAAGAATTAGAAACCAGTGAAGTATGGAATTGATGTTTCCTCAAATTCATGTGCTGGTTAAATCAGCAAAATATATGTGGGTAGTGTACTTAATTTTTAAAAAAATTTTTTGTCTTAAGAAATTGAGATGAAAGCTAGCTGAATTCTTTTGAGACCGTTTTCAATGTTCCCCAGAGGAATCTACCTAAAATACGTTATACACGTAAATAAATAAAACAGTCTTGATTCCTTGCTTCTTAATTCTGCCACTGGTACTACATGGTTACATTATAGCAAACGTATTATGACACCCTGACATTTGGAATATTAGAGATCTCACAATAACATCAAACTCACGCCTGTGAAATAAGCAGATAAAGAATCAGAGAGGATCCAGAGAAGCACTGCTCACTCTGAGAGTGGTTGTGGTGGGGTAAGGGGTGGGAGATGGGGTCCGGGGGTAGCAAGTTAGAAATAGAGAAGGTGAAGTGAATTCTTTGCTTCATAAACTCCCCATCTTATATTTTTTATTTTACTTTTTTTTCTTTCTGTTTCCCTGTGATATGTTCATAGATACTGATTTATTTTTTGACCAGGATTTAGTGTTAATAAATTTTTTACCCTGGGTAAAAAAATTGGGAGATTAGATTCAGAGAATTTGTTAGCTTCTCTATTGTTTCTCTTGTTGCTTCGGTAGGTCTCCCCCCTCCTTTTTTTCTGTTTAATAATCTGGGTGAAAGAAGTGGTGAACTTTGGTTAAGATTAAGTGGAGATCATTTAAAGGCGCATCTATAGAACAATTTCAGTGTTTTTCCTTTACTTCCTGTCTCTCTTAGCTACTTTTGTTTTTCAGTTGCAAGTATAGTTCATTTATTTTCTATGTTTATTTTCTAATAAAGTATTCAAAGTATAAAGAAAACATATCAACCTTATAAGTAGAGTGTGGAATAATCAGTAATCATTGAAACATATTTTAATCCTGCTTTAACCATGGTAACATCTTGATATCTGGGCCAGGATTACTTTAGAGAAATGCTATCATGTGTCATGAAGTTATTATCTGAAATGTTTAAAGTTAAATGAGACAAATACTCAGTAGCATTTTAAAGAATCAGAGTCCTGTAAATTGAGCTTTTTCCTTTTATTTCTGATGCAAAGGTCATCTTGCATGTAGGTTTCTAGACTTCTACAACTGGAAAGGTTTTCCCCCCTGTTAGAAAGTATACTTAAACACAGATTTTAGGTGATCTAGTTTCCAAAATTGTGTAATAAAATACTGGCATCACGTATTTTGACAGTTTCAATTCTATCATAATAAATACACATTTTCAGTATTGTTTCATATGTCTCCACTTAAGAAATAAAATCTATAGTTTCCTAATCATCTACATTGAAACTTCTTTTTACAAATAGAAATTTGCTTTTTCTCTCCCTAACAAGCAAGAGTAGTATCAGAAATAGAGATTTTTAACAAAATGTATACTTTTAAACACACTTGTTTTCATTTTGCTCATTTTCTTTTTGTTTTCTTTTTTAGTATTAACGGGAACATCCATAATAGTGTAAAATCTTTCACGATGAAATCCGAAGCCAAGGATGGAGAGGAGGAGAGTCTACAAACTGCTTTCAAGAAACTAAGAGTGGATGCGTCAGGGTAATTAGATATGAAATATATTATTGGGGAATTGTTTACTAGATATAAATAGCCATTTCTTCAGAAGAGCTCTTTCTAAAATTTCGCATTATTCATAGAAGATACAAATGTTAATAGTGTGACATTCTACCAAATTCTATACAGCATTGTTTTACTCATAAAAGAAACTCTTCTGTTAAATTTGGACTCCAAGGTTGGAGGTTTTCCTTAACTTTGAGGAGGGTTCCCCCCACTTCTTTTTAATCAGAGTGTCTCATTAGAGAGTTCCTCTTACATCTCTGGGGAATCACAGTATTTTTCAGTAAAAGTGAATTGGCTCAATAGGAATCTCTGCAGACATTGTCGATTTCATGGGCTCTGATTGCTGGGCCTATCACTATGGAAACCTCTATTCATTACGGTTCTGTCACTGAGATCAATAATCTTGGACCCTTTGGCCAAACTAATTAGAGCACCTGCAGACCAGCTGCTGTCTGCATGTTAATATTTCACCCCTTGCGAAGTGTTCTATGCAGGGCTCTTTTCATCCCCATTCTTTGCCCCAGGCCAGAAGAAATCTCAAATTTTTAATGGATGTAAGATTATTTCATTTCATGAATGGAAACTGAACACTCCCCAACAAGGAATAATAATAATTGCTAAAATATATTACTGATTTACTGTGCCCTAGACACCGGCTTAAGTACTCTGTACACACCATCTAATCTTCACTACTAACGTAGAAGATAGGTACTGCAGAGTATACCACATGGTTTACAGAGGAGCTACAGATGAATTAAGCCACTTGCAGAAGGTCACATTGGTAAGAAGCGGTAGAGCTAGGATTTGAACCCAGACAATGTATCTCTGGACCCTGTGCTATTAACCATTCCTTTATATGGTACCTTGAAGACAACGTGAAGAAATGCACGCAGTACTTGGCGCA